TGTTCTCTCAGAAGCATGAAGATATTATGTCATTGTCTTTTTAGCTTCCTGTCAAGAAATGAGCTGTCCTGTCCGTCTTAATTTTGATCTTTTTAAAGTAATATGGCTTTTCCTTCCCTCTGGCTCCTTTTAAGATCTTCTCTTTGTCTTCAGTGTTTTCCACTTTTCATTACGATGATTCGAGACATGGATTTGCTTCTATCTTTCCTGTCTGGGTTTCGCTGGACTTCCTGAATCTGAAGATTGTAGCCTTTCATCAATCCCTGAAATTCTCAGCCACCATCCCCTCAATTGTTACCTTCTCCTATTTATCTTCTCTTTCCTTCCGGAAATCTAATTTGGCTTATGTTAAATTTTCTCACTCTATCCATGTTTCTTAACTTTTCTTACATATTCTCCATTTTGTGAGTCTATATGTACTACCTTGAGACAACTTGAATGAGCAGGCCCTGTATTTGAAATGTGATAATCAGATTTCATTTTGCATGTATCTTCCAAATGATAGTTAGGAGAATCTATATTTCTTAACTGTAAAAATAACTAATGGTACTTAAACCTTGTACAATATTTGTAAAATAAATTGAGTTAATATCCTTAACATGGCAGCTATGCTCACATATTCTTGCAGTGAACAAATGACTAGCTGTAATTCATTACAAGCAAATACAACTTCCACACTGAAGTACTCTGAAATTTCTCTTTCTTTTGCTTTGGAAAATATTATATAAAATGTAGGAAAATAAGAAAACTCAGAGAACTCTCCCAGCAAACTGAGTTAGTACTTGCCAAAATGCCACCTACACCCCTCAGGCCTCATTTCCTTGGTAAACCTGATATTTACCAGTGAAGCCCTGGTATTTCACAGTTGAAGCCCTGAGGGAAATGAAGCATTTTCAAGGCCAAAACAAGCATTCTAAAATTTAAGTCCAGAAGGGGAAAATGAAAGTTCCCTTATGTTAAAACATTCAAATCCCACTTATTCAGCTACGATTACCCCAGGAATAAATGTTAGGATGAAAAACAAGGAAAACAGGAGGTGAGGTGTCATTTAAAAACACCTAAAACAGGCCAGTCCAGAGAAAATATCACTTCGTTTCGAAGAAGGACTTTCTCCACACTTACTGCTTTCTTCTCCTCCAGGAAGTGTGCTAACAAGGCTGGCTCTTCCGGCCATTTCTTTGGCTTTTCTGAACTAGTATTTTTTTGAAAGATGACTCAAAGAGCTATTTGAACTTATTCTTATCCAGAATTCAAAATGTGTACTGCTGGCCATGATACAGGATGAGTAAATATTAAGGATAAAATCTCCCTAATTATCTCGAGACCAAGACAATCCTGCACAAGGAGGCTGAGTCCCAACAAATTAGGTGACTTGCTTGGAGCAAACAGCTAGTAGCAAACCCAGGTCACAAATCCAGGCTTGCTAGTCCCATTATTTTTAATTCACTACAATAAAAACATATTTTTTTACAAAAAAGTACATTCACTTTAGCTTTTGCTAGCATAACATGTTAATCTTAGAGAATTTCAGAAATAGAGAAAGGACTCTTTTTTAACCAAACAAAATATAATACTACTAGTGAAATAAATAAGGACACAGTTGTTTAATTTAAGAAACTGAATATTGATTGTAGTAAAAATACATTCTTTTCCTACATAATTTTAAGAAAATCAAGGTGCTGGAAAGCTATATAAATAGATAAATGGGATTTTTTTTTTAATCATAAAATGATGTCCACTTGTCAGGTCAACCCGAAGGAAAAAGAAAGGAAGTAACTGTCTATAGTCTGTTGAAAGTATCAAAAACTGTGAACTCAGTGAAAGGGAAATTAATAAGTAACATTTAATTAAGAAGTTGTGGTTGAGGATTTGCTTTGATTCATGCCAGAGGTCCCTGAAGGGAAGAGAACTTGCAACTCAAAAGGATTGAGAGTAAAGAAAACAAGGGAGTGGGGAAGAGAAAAAATCAGGGCATTTGGGAGCCTGGGACCTCAGAGATAGAATGAGAAAAGCAGGTGATGACACTCGCAAATAAGGAAGCTGTAATGAACGGAGAACACTGGTGACACTGACAAGTGGCCAGAAAGGTCAGCCTCAAAAAATCTGGGGAATGTCTATTTACAGAAAAATATTTTTGGTCCTAAATATATTGTTATTATTTCAGGCTTTTAAAAACTCAAATGCCTTTTACTTTAGACCTCTGCCTTCTACTCCCTTCTAAGAATGACTGGCAAGAGTCAATTCCAACCATCTGGTGTGCTGGGGAGGAAATGGACCAAAATTTCAAGGGATAACTTGTGGTTTAGACCAGTTGAAACAAGTGCCCATAGGAAGCTGACAGGAAAGTTCCAATTGCAACATTTCGTGCTGATTTAAATGACAGTCCATTCTTAGTATATAAGGAATGCTTACAAAAACTTTAAAGGAAAAAGGCAATAGATACAAATATGTAATTTACAAAAGAAGAAATACAAATGGATAATAAAATTACTTGATGCATCACTGGCTATTAAAGAAATCCAAAAGACAAAATGAGATTTTTTTAACCTGTTACACTGACAAATATTGAAATATAAAAATATTAAAACGTTAAAATGCTTAGTATTGGTGAGGGTGTGACAAAACAAGCAACTGGGTACACTACTGGAAAACAGTTTGTGAATACATACGAACATATAAAATGTGTGTACCATTTGACCTCGGAATGGATCAACTACAGGCATTGACTCTAATAGGATTAATCAGAAATTAGAAAATAAATTATGCTGGCTGTGAGATAATAGAAAATATATATTGGTCTCTGCCCCCAGTTCCTGGCATAGAGCTCCCGAAACCCTTGTAATTTCCTAAGTGATAAGAACACTAGGAGCATCTTTTGTTCTAATATTTGGTCCTTGATCCTGGTTCCTAACACAGGGCTCCTGAAACCCTTGTAATTTCCTGGGTGGTGGGGGTGTCTTTTGCTTTATTGGGTGGGCTCTTGGATGGCTCCTGGATGAGGGCTGGTCACTGGAAAGACCAAGCCATGATTAGAAGCTTGGAATTTTCAGCTCCACACCCCCCTCCTAAGGAGGGCTAAAAATGGAGTTAATGACTGGCCATGCCTACATGACGAAGCCTCCATCAAAACCCCAAAAGTATGGGTTCAGAGGGTTGGTGAACACGTGGAGGTGCGGGAGAGTGGTGTGCTCCAAGAGAGCATGGAAGCCCTGAAACGTTTCCCACATACCTTGACCTGTATATTTCTTCCATCTGGCTGTTCATCTATATCTTTTATCATATCCTTTAATAAACTGGTAAACATAAGTGTTTCCCCGAGTTCTGGGAGCCACTCTGGCAAGTTAATTGAATTGGAGGAGGGGTTATAAGAACCTCGGATTTACTGCCAATTGGTCAGGAGCTCAGATACAAACTGGACTTCCAGTTGGTATCTGAAGTGGGGCGGGGGCAGTCTTGTGGGACTGAGACCTTAAACTGTGGGATCTAATGCTATCTCCAGGTAGATAGTGTCTGAATTGAGTTAAATAGTAGGACACCCAGCTCGGGGGGCGGGCGGGGGGGGAAGCCCCTCACATCTGGTGACCAGAAGTGTCAAAAGTGAGGAGTTCTGTGTGAAAGTAAAGGAGAGACACAGAGGAGGACTGAGCTTCTCCAGTATACTGGGACATCTGTACAATGAAATACCATGTAGCCACTAAAATGATGGTGAGTACTCACTGATCTAGAATTGTAGTCACGATATTGTACCAAATATAAAAAAGTACATGTAGTATGATCACATACGTAAAATTGTGTGTGGAGACAGAGAATGTTTGGAAATTCACTAAAATATTAAGAATGATGCTGTCTCCGGGATTTCAAGTGATTTTTACTGTTTAAATGTTTCACAAAGAGTAGTTTCATTTTTTACAGTCAGAAGTAAATAAGCAACAAAGATGACTTTATTTTAAATGTGTAAGAAAGTACCCTTTTTACATATTTGATCCTTCATGGAGGATAAAACAAGTGCTGTTAGGTAACAACTGATCTAGCAGAACTCTATATCAACCAACCAGTCCTTTTCCTACCCCTTTGTCTTTGCTCAGAATGTATTCAAAATAACCACAGTTAAGTAAAATAAAAATGACACACAAGAGTCTCTCTGTATTGTACTACAGGAAGAAAGGGTTTAAACGCCTAAATAATCCACAACGTTCTCTCCCACATTAATTAAATTTACAAACAGAATAATTAGCATGTTGCAAAGTTATGACTGAGTTGCTCATCAAATCCCTCTGAGCTACAGCAATTGTGTTCTCAGAAGAAAACGAACCAAATAAACACAGAAATTTAGACAAGGTCTTTTTAAGGCATCCTTGAACAGATTGAAAATGATGAAAACTTTCGGAAAGTGAAATGTCTTCTGCTGTAGCTGTTTTTTGAAGTTACCTTAGGAAAAAGCTGGTCTTAGGTTACTCTCGTCGCTTAAATTTCAAAGACTTTTTTTTTTTTTCAACCTATGAGCCTATAGACCAGTCTCTGCTACTTTGGGTGCCTTGTAACTTCATTCTAAATCCCTCTTTAATCTTTCAACCAGCTCTTTACCTAGTGGCAAACTCTCCATATACGCAGCAGCTTGTGTAAGCACACAGCTCCGTCATCTCTCCCATTCTCTAAACCGAATGTAGTAACAGGAGATATTTTTTCATGAAGCAGACTTCTCTAAGCAAAAATCAATCTTTCCCTTATCAGTGGCAACCTGTCATACGTTAAATACGGTTAGAGATTTACCATCAAAAACAAAATTGAATTTGATAGGTTTTACTCGACCTTATTATGCAAAAAGTTATTCCAAAAACTACAGATGAAGCTGGGAAAGGCACGGTATTCAATTTTTACTACACGTGCACACGTGCGCGCACACACGCGCCTATAAAATATAGGATAGCATGGTATGAAATGCTATCATACATAGTTAAGTCATAACGATTCCATTTTCCAAAATAACAGAAACCACAAACCTTGAGTTGTTCATCTACAACTCTCGTAACTTCTCCGGCCATTGATTCCAGGGTCTCCTGAATTGGACTGGATAACAAGCCACTGGCTCCCGCCCAAGATGCACCACCAACGTGGTATAAATTTGGTAACAACTGTAAGAAAAATAAAAGTAACCTCTCCATAATAAATATTTAAATAAGCACCAAAGTCACTGCAGAGTTCATAAAACAGGGTTGAGAAATACTAGAGATAAACAAAGATCGTCTTGATGAAAGGCCCTTTATACCAATTAAAAAACTGAGGTCCAGCTTTAAACGCAGAGGAACAGTACCTTACCTGTTTGTGCCTTAATGTCTTCATCTCGGGGGTGAGAGTATTTGACTAATCCACGAGGTTCCTCCTACTTATAAAATTCAATGACTGTGTGATTCTAATAGCAGAGCCTGGACCAGATCCCAGGTTTTCTGACTCCCAGTTAGTCCTTTCTCTATGAAATCACACTTTGGGGACCACAATCTAAGTTGAGAGAAGCTTCCTTTCAGAGGTGACAGAGGAGAGTTTCGTGCTATCAGTTTGGCAGTAGAATCATGTGCAATGAGTTGCTACTCACTGAAACTACAACTACCTCCCAGTTACCTAGAACCTGATTATACCCTTTGTAAATCACACTGACCCTCTGCTTTTAATTCTATACAGCCGGCTGGCTGTATCCGAGGCTGCAGAACCCGCGGATAAGGAGGCCCACCTGTGCTACACCATTTTATATATAAGGGATTTGAGCATCCACAGAGTTTGGTATCTGCAGGGGGTCCTGGAACCAATCCCCTCGCAGATTCTGAGGGACAACTGTATTTTGATTATTGGTAATTAGCACGGGTACAGAAAGGAGGCAAAGACTAACTCAGTTCACCTTGCCACTTGTTAGTAACCTTGAAATGGGGTAGAAAAGTAAATTTAGTTAGAACTAGTTTCTAAAACTAGTTTAAAAAGTTTAAAGTCTTTTTATTCCACAGGACTCATGTAGCTGGAAGTGAAACTCACCGTTTTAGAGTTCTTAGCATCACGCATGAGCCTTTCTGCTGATTTTAGATCTTCCTGGACAGCATCTCCCCCACAGTTTCGTAAAGAGTTGAGATGATCTTGTACTTTCACACATATTCTGTCAATCATCTGCTCCACACACAACAAGGAGAGCAAAGCACCCAAGTGAGCACAGCCAATGTTCCGATGAAAGGAGACACCGAATAAGGATGAATACTCCTCCTAACTGGGATCTTCAAGAAGACAGCTTACAGCCAATTATTAATTTATCTATTTCTATAAGAAACCTTTAGCAACGGTAATTCCAAACAAACATGTAAGGGGTTTTGGTCCCCTCTCCTGCCTTAGGACATGCAGCATGTAGAACAGAAGTGAACACTTCTTGATGATTCAGAATCTCATAGCTACTCAGTGACATTTCGCTTGATAGTAACTCTCCCTCATTAATTTTTCTTGAGTACCCTCTGTGTGTCAGACATAGTGCTGGGTACTGAGGAAACAGAAAAAGGAGATGTACAGTTCTGAGGTAGCTGATGACAAAATGATGCCCACAGCCAGTTGCTCTCAATATTATGGAAATCAGAACATCCCTGGAAATTAATATTTTTTAACTGGTTCAATTATATCAGGTAATTTTCTACCAAAACAAGCATAAGCTGAGGTTTTATTATATTAACATAGGCAATAATAAAGTTAATAACATCTAGTTTCTATTCTATTAAGGTCCTTCTCCCATGTTAATTACATCTGAATCACTTTCAGATGTTTCATGGATTTAAACATAAAACCCACAGGGTACTGGCAGATCACTACTGTGGACAAAAACTAGTACAGAAGGGTAAGATTATGCTCTATTCTATTTGTATGTATAAAGAGAAACGTGAACAAAGCTAAGACGTCTGAACAAAAAGACAACTACGGGGTGGTTTTAAAAGTTTCTCCAATATTTTTTTAATAGATCTTTATTGGAGTATAATTGCTTCACAATACTGTGTTAGTTTCTGTTGTACAACAAAGCGAATCAGCCACATGCACACACATATCCCCATATCCCCTCCCTCTTGAGCCTCCCTCCCACCCTCCCTATCCCACCCCTGTAGGTCATCGCAAGGCTGATCTCCCTGTGCTGTGCGGCTGCTTCCCACTAGCCATCCATTTTACACTTGGTAGTGTATATATGTCAATGCTACTCTCTCACTTCATCCCAGCTTCCCACCCCTCCACCCCAGGTGTTCAAGTCTATTCTCCATGTCTACATCTTTATTCCTGCCCTGCCACTAGGTTCATCAGTACCATTTTTTTTTTCTTTTTTAGATTCCATATATATGTGTTGATCTGAGCTGCAGGTTGTCTATTCTTTAAAAAAAAATTATTTATTCCCCAGAGACCCTACATATCAAGTCGTAACCTTCCTGATAATTCATTCGGCAGAGGTGACGATCCAGCAACAACCTTTTTTATTTAAATTCACACTTCTCTATTTAGTTTGAATTATTTGGTATAACAGCTATAGGAAGCCAAAATGAGCCCTCCTTCCCCCACAAATTCCACCATAATAGAAACTTTACTACACTGCTCAGCCAACTGAAGGTCTGATTATAGAGCCCGCGTCCACCTGCTGCAGCATCACCGATTCTCCTGCCTTTCTCTTTTAAAAAATCAGGTTCGTAACGTCTACTCCATCTTCTTTTCTAGTGTATGATGAAGACAACCCAGTAAAATAACACCACTCAAAGCACTTAGTCTCTTGACAAAGGGTCAGTGATGCTAATGTTAATGTATGACCTCTAAAAATGGTTCGTTATTCACCTGACCCAGGAAACCCCACAAAATCATGCAAGTCGAGAGGTTCAAATCCTCGCGTTCACTTTAAGAACACTTGTGAAACTGCCCAGGCCATTAAGGGTACACAGATCCAAAAAGCCACCAAGTATCTGAAGGATGTCGCTTTAAAGAAGCAATGTGTGCCATTCTGCCCTTACAATGGTGGAGCTGGTAGGTGTGCCCTGGCCAAACAATGGGGCTGGACGCAGGGTTGGTGGCCCAAAAAAGAGTGCTGAATTTTTACTGCACATGCTCAAAAATGCAGAGAGTAATGCTGAACTTAAGGGCTTAGATGTAAATTCTCTGGTCATTGAGCACATCCAGGTGAACAAAGCCCCCAGGATGGGGTGCAGGACTTACAGAGCTCATGGTCAGATGAACCCATACGTGAGCTCTCTCTGCCACACTGAGATGATCTTCACTGAAAAAGAACAGATTGTTCCTAAACCAGAAGAGGAGGTTGCACAGATGAAAAAGATATCCCAGAAGAAACTGAAGAAACAAAAACTTATGGCCTAGTAATAAATGACACAAAAAATAAATGCAAATAAAAGTAAAAAAAAAAAAAAGAACAGCTCCTATGAGTGTAAAATGTACTGAGGCTACGTAAGTGAGCTATGTGCAACTCTCGTAGGAAAAAGAAGTTACATGAATAATGCTTCTCATATAATAATCATCTCCCTAACGAAAACCTAAGCTTGTAGGCAGGGATCACATCTTAATTTTCTGCATTTACACAGAGTCCTGAAGAGAACTATGTTTTTTTTAATCTTAATTGATATAAATTCCAGCTCTTCCAACTATTGTATTGATCTGTGCTTCCTGAAACAAAAATGGTCATCAATAATTCATATCTCACCAAGAATGAATACCTAATTTCAAGAAACAAAATGAACCCCATACTAAGAAAGGAACTGATATACATCTGAGGCCACAAAAGACTAATTTGAGAGGCACGTGGATGTGGTACCATAAAATTGATCATCTTGAATAATCATGAGAGGCCACAGACCCTTGGAGCGTGTGCCATTAAGCATACACCAAGGAGAGAGGGTCTAAATGAACTCAGCAAAATGGTCTTTAAGTAGAACTTTTAAAATCACATCCAAAAGAAACATAAAAATTTCGTTCTTCGATTCAAATAAGACATTAAATCTCACAAGTCTCAAAGATTCTTCTGTACACACACTTGCTAAGGTTCAGCACAGCCCAATAGATCACATTCAGATGCTTTGCAACTAAAGACCTCAAGGCCCAGAAAAGTGAAACTACTTAAGATGACACAGAACGATTACGCAGAGGACCAACTGGAGATTTTGAAAACAGGAAACCAAGGATTTTGACTCTCAGTTCATATTCAAGTCCCTAAGATACACAAATAAAAACAAAGGAAACTGCAGTCTGAAAGACTGTCACCTCTTTGGTCATGAAAGACCTCAGGGTAGATGACTGCATTTGGGCTCTTGATTTTCAACTCCCTACTTTACCCTAAGCCCTAGTGTTCCATTTTCTAAAGCACCCCAGGAAAGTTGTTAACTGCCATAGTTTGAGAAGCTCACTTTTTTCCAAGGAAATGTACTTGGACTTGGTCTTCTTTGAGCCCTCATCTGTCTTCCCATGTTCTTCTACAGGTCACATGTCTTCCCCCTTGAGAGCACTCTGAACAGTCACAAGCTCTCTTCCATGTGACAGTCTTGTCCATGTTTGAACACAACTATCTTTTCTTCTCTAATCTTTTCTTCTTCAGGATTGACATTCCCAGTTCCTTCTACCATTCTACTGTGACACCATTGTGTGGTCCCTGACTGCCACCTCCCCCTGTCCACCCCAGGTCACTTCTCTGAACTCTCCCTCCATCTAAGACCGTCACAAAACATGCCCCCCTCCAATAAAATAGATTGTAACACAGGAAGAGTGGATCAGTAAGCTGAACGGGGCTATCACCTTTCTTAACGTAGAAAATATACTTTCATTTATGTGGTATAAGTCAAATTGGCTTCTTTGGCAACTAAATCACACAGCAACTCACATGTCACTTGGTGGTGACCACTTAGGCTTTTCCAAACATACTGGGCTATAGAACCCAAGTGCAGAACTTAGAACCATTAGCAATAAATGCTATCTTTGGTTGCTTGCAACTTGTTACAACCATTCTCAGTCCCAGCAAATAGCTTACTCGTGGAAAATTTTATCTTCCTCCACATCTATTTCTTTATTCAATTCAAAAGAAATATACTCAACACCTTGCACTGAATGAGATACAGTCCTGAGTAAGATATACCCTTGGCCACCAAGCAACGTAAAAATCTAGAAGTGGAAAGACATATTAACAATAACACAAGATATAAAGTTTGCATAATGTAATATCCACAAAGACAGGTACATTTTGTTCACTGCCAAAGCTCCATCTCCTATAACAGTGCCTGCCATATCACAGACCCTTATAAGTGTTTATTCAATGACTAAATAAATGACAGAAAGTTCTAAAGGATTTCAGTCAAGGGAGGGATCACATGTAGCTGATGCTGAAGGTAGCTTTTAGACTGGGTCCTGAAAGATTTCTACAAACTGAGAAAAGAGAAGGGAATTTTAAAAGCAAAGAATGAACATAAGCAATGGCATATCCAGACACCTGTGATTCCTATTTCCTGATTAGGAACAGAGGTACCTTATTGTGGGAGATCAGATTGGAATGCTGAGTTGAGGCAAGACAGTATAAGACTCAGGCACAGGCTAAGGAGTTCAAACACTGTGTACAAGGCATAGAGCATCTATTCCCCCAGCTTCTCCCACAATTGTGAAGATCTAAAAATTTCTTACCCCGTAACACTCACAGTGACTCTGCTTCCCTGATACAAAGGAAAAGGGCTGTAAAAAGCACAAGAAGAAAAGAAGATATACAGACTGCCAACAAACACATGAAAGAATGCTCAACATCATTAATCATTAGAGAAATGCAAATCAAAACTACAATGAGATATCATCTCACACCGTTCAGAATGGCCATCATCAAAAAATCTAGAAACAATAAATGCTGGAGAGGGTGTGGAGAAAAAGGAACCCTCTTGCACTGTTGGTGGGAATGTGAATTGGTTCAGCCACTATGGAGAACAGTGTGGAGGTTCCTTAAAAAACTACAAATAGAACTACCATATGACCCAGCAATCCCACTACTGGGCATATACCCTGAGAAAACCATAATTCAAAAAGAGTCATGTACCAAAATGTTCACTGCAGCTCTAGTTACAATAGCCAGGAGATGGAAACAACCTAAAGAAGATGTGGCACATATATACAATGGAATA